ATGATTCAACATTAATTTAACTTCTATTGTTGATGCATTACATAGTCTTTAATAATGTGAACACCAGGGATCCTGGTTTTCTCTAATAATCACTCTCCCCAATTTTTGGATTTAAAAAAGTAACCCAAAATCCACATTTTCCTGTGATTACAATGAAACACCACTTATATATACATACATATATAGTGGTGTTTCACTTTGATCATGAGAAAATGTGGATTTTGGGTTACTTCTTTTAATCTGAAAATTATTATTAAAAATTATTTTTTCTTGGAACACAAGACAGACACTATGTTGGACATTAGGATTGTGTACTACAGTGGGGGCCAACATTTTTAAGACATGCCACAAATTAGCTCCACACCTTCCTGAGTGCCACTCCAGTTCTCCACACCTGCCCCAGCCTGATCAGCTGCTCTGCTTTTTGTTCCCTCCCCAAAGCCCCCTGCCTGCTTGGATGCTATTGCTCCTGCCCACTTTGCTGTTCTGCTTTCTGCTTCCTGCCTGATCAGCCACTCTATTGTCTATCCTCTTCCTGAAGTCTATAAAATCATGAACCTTATGGAAAATGAATATAAAATTATTATTCATCATGTCTCTTCTTATACAAGAAGAGACGCAATGAAATGATCAGGTGGCAGGTTTAAAACAAACAAAAAGAAGTATTTTTTTATATAATATATAATCAACTCATGATTGCCACAGGATATTGGGAAGGCCAGTAATGTAACTGTGTTCAAAAAAGGATTATACAGGTTGAAATAGGTCCATTAGGGTCTATTAAACCCAATTGTTAGGGATATACACTCAAACTCAGGATTGACAACTGCTGGTAGTTGGAAGGAGACAGAAAACACTGAGTCACTCTGCACCTGCACTATTTCTTATATTCTTGCTCTAAAGCATCTGAACAGTCAGAGACAGGATACTGGGCTAGACAGATCCTTGGTCTGACCCACTGTGGCACTTCTTATGTTGTGAAAAGACGACAAGAAAATTAAAATTCAGTGGATGCCAAGCATTAAATAAGACAGGGAGCCTCACACTGATTGATGCTGATAAAAAGTATTGAAAAGACACATTCAGCGAATGCTCTCCACCTGTTCACTAAGTGAGGCATGGATCCAATGACAAAAACAGTATTTGATCACATAATTAAGCACTATGCATGCTGGATAAACATGAACCGAAGTTTAAGCTGCACAAGTAACCTTGATTATATTAGGATCTTAATTTTTGAGTATTGGACTTCGCAACTTTGACTTGAACGCAGCATTTTGTGTGGCAAAATGCACAGGATGTGCAAAATGGCTGAATTTATTTCCAAAACATCCTTCCCTTTGTATATTATATTAACATCAGTTTCTTGCATTCAATCTGTATAGTACCATAGTTCTTCCCCTACATTACTTCCTGCTCAGAAAAACAAGCTATAGAAACTCCATGTGCTGAATTAGTATGCTATAAGAGTTGTGCTAATGTAATTTATATCAATAGTTAAAAAACTAAAAAAAGAAAACCCTTGCTTACTCTCAGAAGCATTATGTCTATGCTGCTTTCTTTTCTTTTTTGTATAAAGTTGGGGAAGACATGAACTCCAGGAACAGTGGCTAAGTCAGGAGACTTTCATCTCTGGACAGTAGGGTATCAATTGCAATATGTTCCTTTAGATTCCCAACACTGTAATACACCCAAAGTTGATAGTATAACATGGGATGGGCAAGTCCTAGGCACCAACTTAAAGATCCATGATTAGGGCAACATAACAGCCAGTCTGAGACCATCTGAGAGAATGTGTCACTTTGCTTAATGTACTACTGTGAAGTGCTTAGAAATTTCAGTTAAGTGAACAGTCTGAGAAATATATAGAAAATAAAAGATTCATAGTTGTTATCAATCAGGTATTTTCTACAGTATTATTGCAGAAAAGGATCCAGGCATCCCTTAAGGTTTACATTGTTGGTTTGTGTTTCATTATTATTTCAGCCTATGTAGTCATTTTCAGTTGCTACCCAGCTGCAAAGCTAGGCACACTGAGGAGCTAAATCCAATGGTTACAGAATGGTCTCATCAGCATATGTCTCTAGGCAAATCAATTGCCTATAACAACTGGATGTTATCTCTACACAGAATGCAGGTTGTGATTCAGCTAAACACTTAAACATGTTAAAGATAAGCATGTTCTTAAGTACTCTGCTGAATACGGATGGACTTACATCCTTAATGTTATGTATGATACCTACTTAGCTGCACTGAAACATCACTGTAAGATTCAATGTTTTCCTGTTTCAATAATCATGTCTACAGTAACCTATTTTTATAACCATTCAACTGTCAACATTTCATCAATGATAGTAACGGTGAAAGCTCTACTGTAGACCTGATAGTATTTCAACTACTGTGTTCTCAGGCTAGGTCTTAACTTGGCAATCAGCCTATATTACTGCTTTTGCTATTAATATCACTGTACACAAATGCCAGGAATTTGGGGAATAAGCAGGAGGAGCTCATCCTCCTGCTCAATGCAAATAATTATGATGTCATACGGATAACGGAGACCTGGTGGGACTCCACCCATGACTGGACCACGGGTATAGATGGCTATACCCTGTACAGGAGGGATCGTGTAGATAAAAGGGGCGGGAGTGTAGCTCTCTATGTTAAGGAAAGCTACACGTCCCTGCAAGC